TCATTAACCATTGTCATTGTTATTAATGATTTTTTGAATTAATTTTAATAAAATTTACAGAGACTTAGGGTTTCCAGTCATTCATTGTTGCACTTTTCTACCTACTCCCTCCCCCCCAATTCACTCTTCTCCTTGAAAAGAAAGAAAAACTCTTCCATTTTTATGCAATACCTCTCCCCACTGCAAGTCCACTCCACTATGCAGCCTTCACTCTGGACTTCAATAATGACAAGAATACCCATTCATATATCCCTTTTAAGCAATTCTTTCACTCATCTGTTTCAATGCAATATACATCATTCCTCCCCTCCTTTTCTGTCTTCCCTCAACCCTTTGCAAGTATATCATTTGGTACATAAATGTATGTTTGGGGGGGGATGGACTTATTCCAAGTGAGGATGATATTCCTTTAAGAAGTCACAGTGGTGATGTTAAACTATAAAATTATATATATAAAAATAATTTCCAAGATAAGGCGGTCAAACGTGCCTAACCTGAAGGGATGGGTAGCCACAACTACTGAGACTTGGGTGCTACACTTTGTATCATTACTAGTTTCAATAGATTGGCACACAGCAGAAGCCAGAAGGTAAGAAAGAGAATTTGACAGTTAAGAAATAGAAGCATCAGGATGGATGGTGAAGAGATTGAGATTGTTACCAGCTTTAGTTTGCTTGACTCCACAGTCAACACTCTTGGCACCAGCAACCAGGAAATTAAAGGACATATTATGATGGAAAAGTCTGCTGTTAGGGACCTCTCCAAAGTACTGAAGAGCAATGGTGTCACTCTGGAGTCTAAGGTGTGCCTGATACAGACCATGGTCTTTGCAATCACTTGGTATGTGTCAGAGAGCTAGACAATGATTATGGAGGACAGAAGGAAAATTGATGCCTTTGAGCTGTGGTGTTGGAGAAGAGTATTGAATATACCATGGACTGCTAAGAAAACAAACAGGTTTATCCTAGAGAGGGTGAAACCAGAATGCTCCTTGGAGGCAAAGATTTGGAAGCTTTGTCTGATAAACTCTGGACATGTTGCAAGGAAGGATCAGTCTTTGGAGAAGGTGTCATGCTTCGGAGGGTGGAGGGACAGAGCAAGAGAGGAAAACCCTCTATGAGTTGGACTGATTCAGTGACTGGGGTAATTAGAGTAGGTGTGTCAGAGACACTGAGATTGGTACAGGACAGAGCAGGGTTTAGGGCTATTGTACATAAGGGTCTCTATGAGTCACAGGAGACTCGGCAGTACATAGCAACAACAAGAAGAAAGGAGCAGCCGATCTAAGGCAAACACACGAGAACTCATTCATACAGTAAGCATTTAAGTATCAGCTATGTACTAGACACTGTTCTCGACTCAGCTATGAAAAGTGCCTCTTCCTTCAGAGAGCTTACAGTGAAGACAGGCAGAGAAGAACTAAGCAAGTGTCTAAGGAGGTTATGATATGTGTTCTAAGGTCTGGGGGAGTGGAGGGGAATAAAGCTGGATACAGAAGACAAATGGCGTAGGTAAGCTTTTGAGACCACATCATCTGGCAACCAACAAATGATTACCTGAACACTAATGAACAGGAGAGAAGATGAAAATCAATGTTTTAAACAGTGAATGCCTGAGAGCATTCATTCAAATGTTTCCTGTCTATCAGCCTACACACTCTGCTGACGTTAGAGGAAAAGCAGTAAAACACATATTTGAAGAGGCAGGGACCTCTGTGAGTGCAGGAAGCTGGTGGGCCTTCCTTGTTTTTCCAGGACTCAAGTTTTCTGCCTTTGACAAGATACTACTGTCTTACCACTTTTCGTGTAAAGTGATTTAGCTTTCATTTTCTGACAGATGCCTTACACAGGTTCCAGCTTTCACAGATCAGAACCAGGTCACACAGAAGGGAAAAACTAAAGGCAGCAGAGACACTGGGAATTTAAGAGAAGCCAAAGATTTCGTGAGCGAAGGCAAAACAACTTCATTGTGGGGATGCGCAGGACTTTTGAAGTCCCTTCCAACTTGGATATTCTCTTCTTTTATGGGAAATGGAGAGATGCCAGAAGAGTGATATGCTTGAGGGAAGAGAAAGGAGCAGAGGAAGATTTTTGTAAGATTCTGTATTCACTTAAATAACTGTTTACTGAGCAGGATCTAGTGGCTGCTTACAAGGGTGAACAAACCCCCTCCGGGATATCTCCAGGAGGTGGAAGTGGTTACTACAGCTCTCAAAGGGGTCAACTGTAGGAGGGAGGGGGTCAGTTTCCAAAGCTCTCTCTGCTGAGCAGAAGTGTGAGGAGGCTGTAGCATAGTAGAACCACAGCTGAGGACTGGTGGTGAGGTTCAGCGAAAGGCCAGAGCTAAAATAAGGCAAGTGAGCATCAAAGTCACAGCTGATGAAAAGTGTCATGACTGTGGTGCCCTCTCCACCTCAGAGCCTGCACATCTGTAATAAAGTCATGTCTGCCCCACAAAGCTGTGGTAGCTCACAGGAATCAGCGCCTCTTTAATCCCCATATTCCCAGTCACTAACAAGTAATGGAGGCTTTGCAAATGTTTAGCCACCAACAGAGGCCAAGTCTTAATGACATGAGTGAAACAGGAGAGGCTGATTAACTGAAGGTTTGATGGGTGTGAAATGTGGTCAGGTTTTTGCTGGGTCCCCCAAACTGGAGACTCTGCTTCTAACCAGCTGGATGGCTTTGAGAAAAGCACTTTTGTTCTGAGCTTCTTTCCTCATTTGTAGAAGATAGGAGTGGTATAAATCAGAGCATACAGATGTTGATGGATAGGAAGTGCTTCTCATCTTCCTGAAGTTGGGAGAGCGTGAATTTTTGCTGTTTAGTGCAGATGTCCCCTTGGGACGAGATTGCAAGCAATTACAAAAATACAGTTAGTACAGCTGCTAGAAAGACCTTTGAGGTTTACCAGTAAAACTGACCTTCTGGAGAGGTAGGAAGACAAGACAGCAAGGAATCATGATAATATACAGATATGAGAAAACATAGTCCAACGAAATATATTTAAGAGTGGAACAAAATTTTGTACCTTCAAGACATTTTGTAAACAAACACACAGTAAGTCAGACTTTGAACAGCCTAAAAACTATAAAACAAATTTAAGAGCTGTTAGAACAATAATTGACCATAGGCAAGACCACCTCCAGCCTTTAAAAAAAATTTTCTATTTACCATATTTACAGAATGCTATCAGACTATATTTTGAGCTTTGAGGAGTTTTTATTTAGTATCACTAGAAATACCTAGCACTGAGTAAACCCATAATTTCCCACACCAACAACCACATTCCCCATGATTACAGGAAAACCCACAAATTTTGCAGAAGGGAGTAAAAAGCCAATTTCAAAGGAACTCTTCTAGGTCTATAAAAGAAAACAAATAAAAGCACCACAAAGAACACTGACATTTCTAGCTGGATAACTTTCCATGTGATCTTCAACAACTAAAAGTATTCAATTACACATTCTATATTTCTGCTAACAGCAAAACCCCACGATTACACAACCAAGTCAAAGGATAAAATCATGTAGCTCGAAAATATCAGCAAAATAGCAAATGCCTGAGGGAACCAGGCGGCTGTTCTGTTTCCATGCTAAATAAAGGGGGGGGGGCAGTGGTGTCAAGGTGGGGAGCTTTGCAAAGATCCTAGTTAGGAGGATAATCTTCATGATTACACTTAGCAAATCACCCAATCAATTCCACAGTAACTAAGCAGAATTAAACCAAGAAGAATAACACCACCTGAAATGTTCAGGGCTTACATACAGTTCTGATTCTGAAAACACTGAAGTAGAGACGCTACCACAGCATTATGACAAGCCATGCCATTAGGCTAGAGAGCGTTCCTGTGACAATGACTTGACTTTGTATTAACTGAAGCTCAGGCAAGTTTCCGAGTTTCAGCTCTCCAGCCTTTGGGCCTTTTCTTAGACTCATGCAGTCTCCCTACTTCCTGCACACCTCTGGACTAACTTTCTCACACTCCAGGATTTGAGGTACTTTCATCCTACCTTAAGGGTTGCTTATGCTAAATGCGGTTGAAATCTCGGAGGTTGCAAGTTCGCAGCCACCCCCCTCCATTAAAGCACAATCAGCAAGTGTCACTAGGCAAGCCCCCTCCATTAAAGCACAATCAGCAAGTGTCACTAGGCAAGCCTGGCTGCAGCAGAGTGCTTAATCTACGTAAACAAGTCTGAAGAGGCAACGCATCAGTGCGTGGACATAAGTCAGCAGGCGGAATAACGCGGTTCTGGGAGAGGTGGCTGCCAGGATCGGATCGCCAGCCCCAGAGAAACTCGCCTGACGTTCACCAGGCAACACGTTCACCCTTCCACGCAACAGGTTCACGCAAGCAGGGCCTGGGGACGGGCGAGCATCAGAGCACCTGTCCTCAAGGCCCCAGGACCAGGTCTCCTCAACATCCCTCACGTTCTCGGCAGCTCCCTGGGGCAAGGAAGGCCTGCCAATCTCCAGCTCTTCGGAGCATGTTCAACTGGCGATAAGACCCAGAGAAGATGCAGATCAGCGCGCTCCCATGCACGCTGCCCACCTCGGCAAGGACCGGCCTCGGACAAAGGGTAGACGCGCCCCGGTCAGTGGTCGAGGAATAGGGATGAAGAGGGAAGGGCTCCAGGGTGAGACATGCCCTCTAGCTGGGGACTGCCAGGCTCCTCACCTGCCCAAGCACTAGGGCCAGGTGTTAAAGACCAAGAATCCAGATGTGTATCTAAACTACTTATCAGTCCTGACCTTTTCTCCAATCACCCAAAGCTCTCCTTCTACTTGGAAAACACCAGGTCGCTTTGCATAATAAGAAATGAAACTTTTCAAGTAGTGGGGCCGTAGAAGGGTATGGCAAGGGGAGAAAGAAGCAGGTGAGCGCTGGAGTCGGAGGCTGGGAGAGGCAGGGGCAGGAGGGAAGTGGAGTGCAAGGACGCTGCTGAGCGGGTCCGGCCGCGCTCCAAGGCGGGCGGCGTGCAGGTGAGGCCGGACACTCACCTCCGGCAGCTCGCGGAGCTGGTTGGCGTCCAGCAGCAGTTCTTCCAGGCTGCGGGCATAGCGGTAGATCTCCTCCGGGACGTAGACCAGCGAACAGTGGCGCTTGTCGATGCTCTCCACATGACGGTTGCACCGCCACAGGGGGATGCAGTGGAACATCTCTGCCCCGCCGCCCCTGGAGCAGCGTCCCGAGCCGCGGAGACGCGGGCTCCGAGCCCGTTCCGCCCGACGGCTCCGCTCTGCTCCGCCCGCCGCCCGCTCCGCGCTGGCTGGCTCCCCCGCTGGGCTCGCTGCTCGCGCCGGGCTTCGCGATCGGGAACGCTCCGGGGAAGCTCGGCTGCCGGGAGTCGCAGTTTCGTCCCTGGCGCCCCCACCCGCTCAGTGGCCGGTCCCCTCCCACCAAGCAGCCGCTCCGCCGACGCTGCTACTGCTGCTGCTGCTGCCGCCGCACGGAGCTTCCTACTCGCCGCCGGCGCGCGCACCGAGCATGCGCGGCAGTGGGCGCGCGCCGAGGGCGTTTCCCGGTGTGGGGGATGCTCCGCCCCGGGTTTTCCCGGCGACCTGGATCCGGGGAGGGTCGGCGAAGTTGTGCCGGGTGCTCGCGGTACCCCTTCCCCACAGCACCCCGACTCGGGTCGGACGCGGAGAGACGCAGGCTCCTAGGGAAGCTGGACTCCGGAGGATCCGGGCGCGCCAAAGGGAGGCAGATGAGGATGGAGGGGATCCGAAGAACTTTTTATTTTTGTTACTCAATCTCTCTTTTCCTCTCTCACTCTCCTTTCCTCGCTCCCCTTCCCCAAAACAACTTTCTCTTCCGGGGTCAGGTGGGACCGCCCCGGAGCGTACCTAGCGCGCACGGCTGGCACTCTGAGCCTGGGGACTTGGTGTTGAGGTGTCCGCCCTCCCTCTTGCTGTTGCTCCCCTTGTCCCCCGAAAGTGTGAACGGGTATCCCCAGCCTATCAGGGAGCCCTAATCCTGCTATCTGGGGTGCTGTGTAAGTATATGTGTTAAGTGTGTGCATAGGATAGAGAATGTCCCACCTGGGACAACCAAAAGCTTCCTAGCCTCAGCCTGCAAGATTCTCTTACAGGCGCGTGCACGCAGGCAGGAGGAGCCCAGCTTCAGAAACTGGAGCTAGCAGCGGTGAGCTTGTGAGCCAGTTTCTGACCAGATGTGGGCCCTGGAGACCAGTCCAGGCTGGAGAAGGAGGGGTGAAGGAGGTTTCCTGGGGTGGCCAGTGGGCACCCTACAGTCCCTGGCTTTGAGCTTCTGCACCAGCATTCGTCCTTGCAAATGAGCTTGCAGCCCGAGGAGGACTCACTGGGGAGCTTATTAGAGACTCACAGTTGAGTAATAACGACCTTTCTCTCGCCATCCTCACCACCACCACCTCCCCCGCAATGCCTTCTATTAACTAGGACCCTGAACTGCCTGATTGCACCACATTCCTCGTTCTCGAACAATGTAATACTTCTTCACGAAGAGGAACAGACCAGGTCAAGGCAACTCATATTCTACGATTGTTTTCTCGGGGTCGCCTCTGTTTGCCAGCCCATAGGTCCCAAAACTCCAAACTTCCTCCTTCAACTTTCCTTAAACTCCTCATTCCACCTGTGGCTTCTGCCACGCCATCATTTTCTCCCACCCCCATTCCCGCCCCTGAGCTGTCATAGCTAAAATCTGGAATCATGGAGTTCTACATCTCTGCCCAAGATTGAAAGCTGAGCATGCTCAGTGCCCAAAACAAATTTCGGTCTAAAACTAGTTATTGCCCTGCATCTTTAGCTTCTAGGCTACTACTAAACCAGCGCCTAGGAGGGCCCTGAAGCTCTGAGTTCAAGCCTAAGGTGTCCTCAAACTCTCCCTTCAATTCCAACCATGCAGTGGACAGATCCGTTTCCCCGGTGAGAGGTGGAAAGGTTACATTTCATGATTTCAATGTTGTTCAGGGGCTCCTTCGCTGTCGGTGAGACAGGACCACTATGAAGCCTCTTGCATTTCCCAGCCTGATCACCTCAAGGCATTCAAGTGAATTCCTGTTGCTCCACCCTATCCACTCTCCTCTCTTTATCCATGTTTGTTCTTCATTCTTAGGAAAGCTCCCTGGACTTTTGACTTTAGCCTTGATTCCTTCAGCTTGCATATCATTAACACATGTAAAGCCCATTTTGTGCTACCCTTGGTAGGAAATTATTGGAAGATTGCTGAATCCGAGAGCAAGTCACTGTTTTTTAATGTATCCGAGATGCTTTTTTTTTTAATTACGTAAAAGGCATTTATTTTTACCCTAAGTGTTTCTTTCTTGTTTTGTTTTTAACTTGAAAGATGAAAAATTTACTAGCCTGCGACCCAGAGGAACTCTTGTTCCCAAGATCTGGACCTTCTTTTCCTGTTTTTGTTTTTGGTTGGTTTGTTTTTTTGTTTGTTTGTTTGTTTGTTTAATGCATAGTAAGTTACACTAAATACTATAGACAAAGACAGACATTTCATGTACTGGCATTAGCTAACCACTCCAGTTGATGGACAAGCCGACTGAGACGTAGCCTTGGGAACCGCTCGCCTGTCATAGATCTTGGGGGATCCCCGCACACTTACAGACTATTTCATAAATAAATAAGGGGCGGAGAGAGACAGGGACACCATGCCTTGTCCAGTTCCAACGAATGTGTGCAAGATGCTTTTAAAAGATAATGACTTGAGAAATGTTTTAAAGGCACTTTGTGAAAACCTGGTTAACTTGAAGAGGCAGTCTGGTTTGCGTATTTTGAAATGATTTAACTCTTTGGTTTGTCCTAGAATCAAAGATACTCCTTAAACTACCATCATGGCAGCACTTCTTCTACTGGACTTTAAGACATATTGCCTCAAGTTGAATTCAAACTCATGACAGCTCCATGTTTTAGAACTTTTTAATAGTTTGGCTATCCATCAATGAGATAGATGGAGGCAGTGGCAGGAGTAATGGGGACAGGTGTATCAGAGACAGTGAGATTGGCACAGGATAGAGCAGGGTTTAGTGCTATTGTACATAGGGTCGCTATGAGTCACAGGCCACTCGACGGCACATAACAACAATAGTTTGGCTAAATGACAATTTTATTTCAGAGGATTTTGATCAATTTGGTTCTTCCCACTTTTATACTGATGAGCTAAATCATTACTCTATATAGTTAATGTGTTTTTTTCACAGAACCTTATCCTATATTGTATATACTCATGTATAGTGAAGCATTATTTGGACCAGGTAGATTTTGTAGAGAATGTCCTCACTAGGTCTGAGAGTCTTACTGAGTGATTTATTATATAAACTACAGTTTTTCATTCTCTGGAAATAAAATATGAAGACTGTGTTGTTTATTGTAGTTGATTGCCTTCGAGTCAAGGTCGGCTCGTAGTGACTATATGAAAAAAAGACCTAATGCCTTTTCACAGCTGTCTTTGTTTCTCTGAGTTCATAGAGTTTCCAGAGGCATGTGGTTTAGGAAGTGGATTCCACTCCTGCTTCCCAACCTGCTTCACAACTGGGAGCTCCACCAAGCATTGTCCACAATGGGAAACCATTCTGGTATTTGATATCCCCATGGCACCTCATATAGCACATTGACCAAGAGTGATGTGCAAAGTGGAAGAATGTTCCTCCAGATATAATATCACTACTCTCATTTGGCAGTGGTTAAGTGTTGTCAAGTCAAATATGACTCAGAGTAAGCTTTGCACAAAACACCTGAACTCTGTTCTATGATTAACATCATTTCTGTACATTTATAAGGGAATTTGTAGAGTTTCCAGAGGATGGACTAGGGGGGGCAGGAGGCAAGATAATGATAAAGCCTGTTTCAATTTCAAATGTTCTTAACTTCCAGAGATTATTTTCATACATACCAAATGAATCTTAATGATGTGACTGATGTTTTAAAACTCCAGGTGTCAAAAAACACTTGATGAGTGCCTTTCCTTGGTACCTACATTTCTTTGAACTTTTAACTATTTGTGGTCAAATTACCTTTTGGACAGCAAATAACTGTCTTACTGGCTTTGCAGATCCTAGCAGCTACTACAATGGATCCATATTTGTTGCACTGACTTCATCATTTATCATCTGTCTATTCATCTGTCTATTTATTTCCTTAAAGGATCACCCTAGGATTAGAAATTGTATTCTGGTTTAAAAACAAACCAAAAAAATCATCTCGAACTCATTGCCATGGGGTCAGGTCAGACTCATAGCCGACCCTCTAGCAGATTCTTCCAGAGTTGTACAGTCCACAGGAGAAGACTGCCCATCTTTCTCTTGAAGAACAGCTGGGAGATTCGAACCTTTTGCCTTTGCTTTGAATGAAGCCAGCACAGTGTCAGTTAGAACCTTGTAGAACAGTTACCACTTAGCTCTATCTTCTTGAAGAGTTTTAAGGTGTCCTGTTTATTTAATTCTCATTTTCCATATTACAGATGCACCTGGCACCACATAAAAAATATATAAGAAGACAATCTAAATCAATGTCTTTCTCCAAGAGTGTAGTTCTTGCATTTATTTTTACTATGAGCCGTATTAACAGCTTTTGGTCTGGAAATAGTCTAGGATCAGGAAGAGATATTTGCACATTGAAAAGTGTAACTTTGAACTTTAATTCTGCCATCTAGCAACTTTGTAGCATTGGACAGTTTCCTTAATTTTTCTAAGTCCTCTTTTTATCATCTGTTAAATATGAACAATGATTCAAGGGATGTAACATGGTTAAATGACATAATAAATGGACTTTGCAGAATGTAAGACATACATCAGTTTAATCAGTTCATTTCCCTTACTGTCAGATGGTTGGTCTATGTAGCAAGCTATGATTATGTTAGGCAGGATTTTATGTCACTTGCAGTACTTGGTTATGTCTCTCTCAGATTAGTCATCCTGGAAACCACTCCTCCAGCCCCATTCCAGCCTTTAGGTGACTGTAGTACCAGCTGACAGCTAGACATCAACCTCATGATAAACCCAGACCTTTGTTAGTTGCACCCAGATTCCTAATCTTAAGAAACTGGGTAAAATGTTTATTTTTAAGCTACTAAAAAAAAAATGAGGCCATGTGTTATACATAATACTGTTTATTCTTGTTACGTGCTATCGAGTCACTTATGACGCATAGTGACCCTATGTACAACAGCTCTGAACCATGCTCTATCCTGAGCCGTTCTTACTGTCTCTGACACACCAACCCCTTTTACTCCAGTCACTGAGTCAGTCCTTCTCATCTAGAGTCTCCCTCTCTT